GACATAGATGATTTGGGGAGCCTTTAGTGTATGCCAGGCATGAACTCTAAGGCCAGAATCTAGAGCAGGGATGGGCAACCTGCAGGTCATATGTACTCCCCACACCTATGAATGCATTGTTAATGTTGGCAGTGTGATGTTTGATGCTGCTGCTGCTGCTTTGACGGAATAAAGATTAAAACGGGGGTACAATGACTCTGCCAGCTTAATCTAGAAATGGTTGCCCCCAAAGAACACAAATCAAAAATCCTGGGAGCAACATTCCCCAAGCTTCCCAGTTTTTATCACCATTCAAAGAATAAGATTGCAAAGTACAGCGGCCCCTGCCCCAAACTTGTTGTCTGCCCTAGACGAGGCAAGCAGATCTCAACAACAATACAAGCTCTAATTTGACATCTAAGTGCCAAGAACATGTGAAAAGGGTGAGCTGGCATGTGTCTCGCCTTCTTGGTTTTTTAATCCTTTCATTGCTGGGATGTTGGGGACCCCATGCAAGGGTAGATAGCTTGATGTGCTTCAAACATGCTTTGTGCTAGTTCATTACAATCAATTAAACCAGTATGGCTTAAATGTCTTTCTGTTTTTTTAGGAAAATTCTATTTTGTGTCTGGGTGTAGAGAGCAAGGAGGATAGAGAAAGATTCTTATTTGCGTGGAAAGGAGCCAGGCATTACCAAGACTAGCTCCCAATCACCAATGCATGCTTTTCAGGGACAGGCCTTCTGGCTTGTATATCTAACATTTGATTTCATTTATATGAAATTTAGCATCCATTTATCTGCACAACCAGGCCAGCATTTGAGAATGTTAACCCAGAATTTGGGGGGAGGGGGTCTTTGTTCTACTTGAGAGAAAATATACCCCTCAGTAGTACAGCAAATGCTTTGAACACAGAAAAATCTAACTGCAGTCTCTTCAGGACTGTCTTGAGGAAGGGCTGGGCAAACTGTTCTGAACCATGCAGAGCAGCTACCAGTCTGTATCCATTATTCTGGGCTCAATAAACTAAGTGGAGGATTCAAAATGAAGCAGCTTCATGGATTCAGAAACTGAGCTAGTTAAAGATTGTATGATTAAATGGGCTCAAAATATAGGAGAAATAATATCTATGGATACCTGGGAGTTGATATGGGTGAGAAATGTGAAATTTACGCAGGCACAAAATCTACGTGAGAATTTTTATAAGATGTTTTATAGATGGCACATGGATCCTGCAACTATGTCTCGCATTTATGA